CCCAGCAGATGACGTGGAGACAAGGCATAAAGAAATGCACAGAGCCATTAGGTAGAGTAGGTGTCTCTCGTCTTCCGGGTTGGGGTTCAAACCACTCCTTAACCGCATGGTTGGAGACACTGAAGGTCATGGCTGCAAACCGATAGCAATGGCGATATTGCTGTCACTTCTTATCAGTCCAGAATGCTTGAAATAGTATGTATGCATAGCTGGATTGTGTACTCTGTGTGTTGATCATAGAGGTTCGCTTTCTTTTCCCGTCCCTAAAAATAAGCCCAATCCCTGTCCTCCTTACACATTCTCACTTATCTTGTATGCATTNGCGCTCAGTGAAGTTCGCTTCACTGTATTACGCTGTACAATGATGATGATGCTGACATACATGAGGTAGCAGAAGTTCAAATAACCAGTAAGGTGTTCACACTCGACCGAAAAACTCGGATCATACAACCGAGGCCATTTCTCTCTGATGCCAAATGCACAGACTATGAAAAACCTTCCGGATGAGCGTACGTGTCAGTATACCATGATGCTTCTTTGAGGAGACTTCGCAATACATGATTCAATGATCAGAAATTGCTAGAGGGCTCCTGTTCGGATAGCAGAGAGGTCAGGATCGTCCGAAAACAGGTCCAGCTGTGCGTTCCCCCTTGTGAGGAAGTTTACAAGACTGTGAAGATAGAGACTGGTCAAGAAATGAACATCGGCAAAACGAAAAAAACGGGAGCGTTCACTGTAGTTTCAAACATATGTACAGTTCAGTTCAGTTCTTACAAACATTAATCGTGCACTTTCGTGAGCCGGTTTTGGTTGCTCATTTGGATAAACTGGCGGAATGATGATTAGAATGTTGAGAGTAGATACATGCGACACCCAGCCATATCGCTCAGTGTCTCTAACCACCGGCGACCATGATCTCTGGGTCCCCAGCCAGGGAGCCTAACGGGGCCTATGTGAGCCAGTCTCCTGGTCAGGGTTTTCATAACCGCATACCAGGTCTTAGCTTGACCGCCCTTCATTTTTTCCCAACCGCTACCTGCCTCGCTCGCCGTGGCAACCTATCTGGTGATATGCGTAGCACATATTCCAACCAGCGTAATCTGTGGAGGTCGACAACCTGTCCCAGTGGACGAATGCGATTACCTTAAACTCTACGCCTAACCTCAGCATTGATCATCCGGTTTCCCCACCAGACTCGTGCTGTGCTACATAGACAGCGGTGTTCGAACACCGACAGTCTTTTTATCCTGTTCCCGTAATGGTCAAGTTTCTGCACCGTAAAGCCGAATTGCTTCAGCATATACTCGACCCTTAACAGACAACCGAATGTCGCGACAGCGCCACAGATGTCTCAAGTTGGCAGATGTCAACCGAAATTTCTGTAGGCGCGCCGACACTTCATCTGTGATGCGCCCGCCAGGTGAGATATAGCTGCCCAGGTAGCAGAACTTGTCGACTGTCTCTACAACTTCCCCGGTCAGGGTGAGGCTGGGGACTGGGCCAAACCAGTCTTTACACTGTGAAGGTACAAAGCGCATGCCGAACATCGCTACACTGGCACTCAAACTATCCAGAAAAGCTTGCAGCTTACCTGAATCTTAACTTAGTCTGCATACTCTAGAACAAACAGTCTGCCACCTAGGAGTAAATCGGTGCCGCTATCGTCGCACGAAGATAGGGCTGTTTCAATAATTAGATATATGACAAAGTTAAATAGAAATGGAGAGAGAAGGCAACCATGTCGAACACCACTCCGTGGTGAACTCGGGTGAAAAAGTGCCGTAAGCTCGGGCTCGGCTTCGGCTATTATTATAGAGGGGTTGTAATATTGAAATAAACCTCCCGGACACACCTTTAGGAGAAAGGCGGCGCCAGAGTTTAGAGCGATCGACTGATTCGAAAGCCGATTTCAGATCCAGGAAGACGGAGTATGATCCCGGCGAGAAGTTGAGAGGCAATGTTAATTAAACTACTTCCTCTGTGGTTTTCACAAGATGACCTGTCGCTCTTCTTGTAACTCGGTGTGATCACCGATTCACATCATTCAGTTGGAACCTGTTCCTTTTCCGGCACTGAACCCAGGAGCTTTGTTAACCAAGGATAGACCTCCACCCTTAAAAACCGATGGGGACAGCCCGTCGGGGCCGGAAGCCTTATACCTTTTGAGATAGCTTATTTCTCAGGTAACCTCTATTTCAAATGGAGGACTGATGTCAACTGACAGTATTTGCACAGTTGAATCGGGTGTAGGGAGATCTTGTGCTGACGAGGGCCAGCTGAATTGAGCCTTAAAATGTTCTGTCCATCGACCTAGACGACGTTGCTGAATATGAATCAGTGTGCCGTCGAACTCTTTAATTAGCACACATGTACAACAGAAGCTGCACTGGAGGGTGCGATTTAAATGTTTGATGATACGATAGAACAAAGGTTACTAAAACACGGGGTTTACTTTCGATGGAAATACGTGAGCGCACAGTCTATCACGCTGCAGTAGGAAGATAAATTACGGAAATAGGTGAGTCAAGTGGGTTTGTTCGAAATTTTAGAGGATCACTTTGGAACTAAACGATTATTTGACCCATGTTCTGAGCATTATCCTAAACTTTTTTCCGTGTATCCTTTGCTATAGGTATACAAAGACGACTGGACTCGGGGATCAAGCAGTTTTCATTGGCCCCCTGTACCGATACCGCTCCCCAATGGTGCATCTAAAGTCCATGTGCCGATGGCGCACAGCCATCCAAGCCCTTCGAAGACATTAGGTGTACCAGGAATAATTCAGGCGAACATGCCTGGTAAATTTTACAGAGACAGTCGATGGACTCAAGGCGCTGGTACACTCCCGGATCTGTTAAATGTTGCACACCCGGCCGCACCCTCAACAGTATACTCGAACTCCACAAGATACGAACAATGATTCGAAATTGACTGTGATACGGACCGTTCTTCATTTTGCTTGGTGGAAAACTGCATATACACAAAGAAAACAAGTCGTCAGAAAGTATCTATGTACATTCATAGGGGAAGTAAGGCGGTGTGTGTTTGATAGGTCACTTCTGTTTTATGAGACCTCCAACGGGAGGAGCAACTGGCACTTTGGTAGGCTCCGATCCGGTTGCATTGTTAGTTGTGTTAGATTCCGGAACCCCGGCATCCCATTTGCTACGTTTTTTCGGCTCTGATTAAAAATCGGGGAAATGAGGCAGGAAGAGCGATAAGGTTTGAGTAAATTCAACATCATATGAACGCAAACACTTCAAGAATAAGAAAGTTTCTTAGTTATCGGACTCTGCATTATTGGTCATGATTTTCATAATCCACTTTGGCTGGAATAACACAATTTTAGTCCTGTTCACTTATGACAGTCTACTTTATCTTGTCTTGGACACAAACAGCATTGCTGTTAAGTAATGTCTGGCGAGGTCAGAAACAACCTACTATTTCATTTTTATACCGGGGCGCAAATTAAGGTTTCACGACGGATTTACTTGACATAACAAATATCCCGGTTGATTTTCCATTTGCCATCAAGTTTTATTAGCAGAGGAAAATGAGATAAAGCAGACATAACTCACCGACAAATCCCGTCGAAACGGAAGCACTCGACATAAGTGTATTCTTGTTTGTCATATCTTGAATGTTCCCTGTGGCACCAGGCGCTGAGTTGTTTTGTTGATTGCCTTCCGATTTCTTCTGTTCCTTCTGCAACTTTAACAATCTGTCAATCTCACGATTCTGCACCCGGGCCAATTCATCGTAATACGATTGTGGTGTCCATCGATATGGATCGTAGATCTCCTTGAAGAGCAGTGAAAATGGTTAGAATAGATAACTTCAGACGGGTTTAGCGAAAAATGTATCTATTGTGGCCCGTTTGGCGCACTGGATGTTTTGGCTAACGTTTTATCGCTAGCTCAGTAGATCTGTTCAAAGTAATAAAGCGTTTACAAACGAAAAAAGGTGTCTACTGGCATGTTCGGGACTGTGAACCTCAAAATTCCGGTAATCACACTAAAGAATACGGTATTTCACCATTAGTAGTGCTCACAGAGCTTCTGTTTTTCATCTGGAATGAGGTTAAGATAACCCGATACAATGTACAGAATCACAGCTTCATCATCGCGTAGCTAAATCCAGCGAAACAAACTTCGCTGTTCGGGGCCAAACTCACAGTGTGCTTAACGTACGAATGTATGGGATGGATAAGAAGTGACTGAAAGTCCGTATAGAGAAACTGTGAATACACATCGTTTTAAACATTCTGGCTCGCCAAGAACCCCACTGTTGTCAGTGATAACACTAGCCAACCAGTTATGAAGTCTTTTTGACGCCAACCCAAAAGGCTGAAAGAACCTTATCTCCCCGTTCGCTTATTCATACCATGTCATCTTTTGACAAGTGTGACTTTCTTCACATGGGAAGAGCAATGGCAAATAAAAAAGACAGCTATGCATTTGCAGCACGTATCCTAACCAGCAAAACATGCTCATCAGAGTCCGGCATGGGAACAAAATTTTCAGACGAAGCACTCTTAATATTACTGCTCGCCCCAGACTACACAAACGTTGATGATAGAAGACCTCCAACCGATGAATGTATTCTATACACAACCATAACACAGAACTCATCGCACAGTATACGGGACCTTTTAGGTTTAAGGAAATGACGGGTCAACGCCACCGGTGTCTGTTAGGCGTACGCAGCCCGAGCGTTGGATATGCAGACCGTCACCACAACTGGGCTGCCTTCAATAGTGATATAAGACAATCAATTATGGACAACTGCTGACCAACTAATTTTAAAGCAGAACTGGTCAGCGCCCAATAAATTCGTACTTGCAGAGTGAAAAACGCATATCGAACCAAGTAACAAAATCTATTAGACGGTCAAGTGCACTTTCCATATCCTCCATAAATACCGTTAGCGTTCACTAAAACGCATAACTCTTCTCGAACTGACCCTACAATACCGACAACTTCTTCGGCCGCTGGATGCGTTCTCTTGCATTTCTACGTCTATGACGAAAGTGGACAGCAATGGGGAAACAGGGCACCGTCGATAAACACTGGTGTTAGTTTCGAACGATCTCTCAGTTTGCCGTAGGCTCTTATGCTTATTGGTGTAACACGGTAGAGTACCACGGTTGTAACATTTCATTATTCAGACAGGAATACAACTATTGGCAGCTACCCCTGCTTGAAATATCGCTTAGGGTGACTGATACAGCCACGTAATGATGACGCATACGGAGCGGTTTTGTATACCATCTAAATGGAGAGAGATACACTGAGCTCGTGGGGAGAGTAGGATTGAGCATTCATGAGGGCTGAGCTAAAGGGTTCCGGATACACAGTCCACGTACGAAGTGTAGTTGACCGGGTAAGGAAAAACAACTTATCTATCTATTGCGAACATTGTTCAGCGACTCACAGAACTAAATACCAAATTACTGGACGCTGCTGTCAGGCGTCGTCCAAGAACTCGAGCACGAGGGACCTTGCTGCACCATGTCAACGCACCTGTACACAGGTCCCAGGTTGTCGGCGCCTTTCTGGCTAGAGAGCCCATCCAGGAGGTTCTTCACTCATCCTATAATCCAGACCTGGCTTCGTGTGACTTCTGTTTCCAAATGTCAAGCGCAAGGAATTCGATACGGGTCACTAAGGCTGCAGTGGAGATCTTTATTGAACTGGTCGAAGGGTTACAGGCTTCGGCGTAGTCGAGCTGTTTCGCCAAATAGTTTCAGTGCATGAACGCTGGCGGAGAATACTTCGAGAAAATGTAGTGCTTATTTTTGTGTAACAAACAAAACGTTTTCTGCAAACGGAAACTTTATGCTCAGCCCTTGAATAAGCAGACATACTGTTGTTTAACTGACCAATATTTATGTTATACGTAATGCATGAAAAAAGATTGGAGTCAATTTTATTCATCTAATGCAGAAAATTCGATTTTTGACTAGAGGATTTCTTTTGAGCGAACAAGTTTTTAGTGTTTTACCTGGTATATTTAAATAAAAATCTTACAAAATCAACCGTGTAAACTGGAATTTGAAGTAACGAGAGAGAATTGAACTGTACAGTTGTGATACATCGCGGTACAAGTACAGAGCACTTTGAATTTTTCACTAGAAATGAAGCAAAAAGATGTGCAGGCCGTGTTCACATTTTGCTGTCAGTCACATGAAAAAGTGACTGTTTAGTACTAGCTCGACCAACGATACAAATGCAAATTTGCTTACAGTTACACCTCAGCAAACATTTGACCAAGGTAAAAACCTTTTGAGTACACTTAGGTAACCTACGATCGAGCAGCTGCCTTATATCTGTGAAGACTTCTCCGTGAATTATGGCTAGTGATTCAGTCGAAAATGGACGCAAATTTCAACTAATTACTGAGCAGGGATTTTACTGATAAGCTGCACGACTTATAGTTCACCATTCTATTGTTTAAGTTTGACTACTATCCTCAAAATGTCGGAAATAATGTATCAGATTGACTGGCGTACAGCATGGTTCACATCAAAATGAATGTGGCTGGTTCCAGACATACCCTGTACCTGTGGCAACAGATGGAAGTCTAAGAATATAAGAGCCATGCGTTTCGCAGAAAACTTGCGTCCGTCCTGGTGGACACTTTTTTGGAGAATGTAGTGTTTCTCAACTACTCAGAATTACAAACCATTTGTTAAAAATACCGTATTATACCATACATCCTTTCCGTCAAAACATACAATATTGTAGTTTAATTTGCGCTCAGTCAATGTAGACTAATGGGGAACTGAAAAACTACTTCCGGTTCGCATCATTGCAGAATCATTTGTTACACCCAAGTACTGGGCAATCTATTCCATGACTCACTGATACCTACTCTGGGGTGAATGATGATAGCAGACCGAATCGCCTGTTTGCTCTTGATGAAAAAACAAAAACAGAACAAGGGGATATAAAAAGCGCTCTAAAGTGATTGTCCGTTCGCATCTTCTCGGCACACATAATGGGATAAAGGGTGATTCCTGTAATCACAAGTACATCAGTGCTTAGCTAGGGCTCTGGGACTAGGAGTGACGAAAGTACCCGATCAGACAGCCGTGCTATTTCAAGTCAAGTCAAGGAATCGCTCTATACGCCTCGAGGGGAGGATATTTAGCAATCGATTAAGAGTCAATCTCCAGATGTATCAGTTTCTTTTAAGGGCTAGTAAAACAATTATCGACGGTCACGTTTTGAACTTTGAATGAAGTGAAGAAAATGAACCCGTTGAAGCAGTACAAACTAACCCAGAGAGAACCAGTGGAAAATACAAAAAAGCTGAAATGAACGAACAAATACTTACTTGAGGGAAATTAGTCCCCTTTTCATCGATATTTAGAAAAGAAATCAGTTTTTCATATATGCTAAAACAAACAGAATTTCTGAAAACTGCTTCAACAAACCTGGGGTTTCGGAAAGCCTTATTATCCTGAATAGCACGATTCGGGTCGTAACTTATGTCTAACCGCATTCGACGGACTTCGCGATCAACTTTTTCTTGAAGTTCCATACGACAGTGTCCAGTCGGCTCTGGAGGGAGCTGTACATCGTCCAAACCAGGCGATGCTCTATTTTGTTCTCCAGTGAACTCAGACTGTGATGCACTGCTATCTGGTTCATGATGATTTTCGGTCAATGCCGGAGGGTTTTGTAAATGATCTTGGGAAAGGACAAGTATAGGTTCTTTATTCATTTGATGCGATGAACTGAGGATAGTTGGCGGTTCATCTAGACTGATGAAAGGAAAGTCGCCTGTCGGTAATGGAGAAACACTGGTGTCCATGGTCGAATCAGGAGCTGCTTCGTCTGGTTGCCTGACTTTGTTTGATAGGCTATGTTGCGAATCGGAGGTCTCCTCATCAGACGGAGCTGTATGTTCATCGTCGTCATCATCATCGATCGTATAGGACACGAGGCTAGGAGCTGACGNTGACGAACACGTTTACGAAAGACATTTTATATGGTACCTGTGGTTTGGATTTTCCTGGGGATTTTAGGCTCGTCAGGTGTATGGGTTGTTGCAGACACCTCATCGGGATTAAATTGGGACAAAACTAATGCAACAAATTAGGACAGGAAACAAGTGATACCTGTGCGCGAACGTTTCTTATTCGGACTGAAATCTCTTTCGTCGTCGGAGGTGTAGATTTTCGGAGCGTCGGGATCTTCCATGCCAATGTCCGAATCTGCGTGAGGCGGAATATAGCACGTGCAACAACAGGTTAATTCGGTGGTAGGTAAACTAGTTATTTTGCACTAGCATATGAAGTAAATCAGGCCAATGAGGAACAGGGACGCAGTTCATTGACGTCACTTAAACTTTTGCGCGTGGTATGCTCCTTAGCGTGTGAACAATGCATAATTTTTTGAAAATATGTGACACACCTACTTATAATTGTCTTT